CTGTTGCGTCGGTCATAGTTGCTTTGCTTTCAGCCTTTCGCTTGACTGTCTATCTCCTCGAAATAAACCTCGTGGCAAATCCAAGCGTGGATACCCGGAAAAAATCGGGCCAGCTATCCATACCCGATTACCCGCCACCGGGCAAACGGTTGAAGGTTATTCACTTATTCGGTTGAAAAGGAATACGCTTGAATTTACGCAAGTGACACCCTGTAATGTTGCCAATTTTAATGGCGACTACTAATTGTTGCCAATGCTGTCCAAACAATGAGTATGGGCAAGATTCCGAGAAGTGGGTGGAAGAAGAAGTGTGATTTCTCCGATCACACGCATTTCTATGTTGTTTTCTTGTTTGTGTCCGATAACGGGTGACGTTATGGGCATTGCCCATTTTATTTTTTGCAAGTAGAGAAGAGCATTATTAGTTTAATATAGGGTTGTAAATGAGCCGAGCTATTCGTGAGCTGCTCGGTCTCGAATTCGATAAAAGCTCGTTCGATTAAAAAAAAGCTCTGATCGTTAATAAACGAGTTGAGCTTGAGCTCTACCTTGTTCGGCTCGTGAAGCTCGTGAACTAGCTCGATTAGGTGGCTAGTTTAATACAACTCATGAACTATCTCGTTTTGAGCTTATGAGATGTCCCAACGTTGTGACTAGCTAGAGAGCCAACTCGACTACAACTTATGAGAAAATCAATCTATATTTTATGAGTTGGGTTGTTAATGATGCATATAATTATTAAATTGTATCTATCACCTCATATGGTGTTTAATACATTGAGTATATGTAAGCAAATACGTCTCATATATGACATAATATTAGAGAATCACATGTATCACATATGACATATAAATATTAGGCTATTTATATTATAAATTATCTTAGAGTTGAGCTCGAGTCGAACTTTCGATTTTAATGATGTGTCAGATTTAATAAATGAGTTAGCTCGTGTTCGACTCGGCTCGTTTATAAACGAGCCGGACATGAACATGACAAAACTCGGCTCGGCTCATTAACTACCCTCGTTTATTACTAACAATGAGGTTGGAGCCTGGAGGTGATAAAATTCATACAATAAAAAAATTAATTAATTTAATCTATTGATAGATTCATCAACTAATTTTTCACTTTCACAATTTCAAATCTAAATTTTAATTTATATGAAAAATATCATGGAAAATTATGTTTTTGACACCTAAAAATTTACTTGATATATTTGTGCATAGTCTAGTTTGATTGATTTGTTTGTAAACAAGTCATTTGACTCATCATGGTCGTCTTTTGGTCATCAGCATTCAGCTTCGTGACGTGAAGGATTTGACAGATGGTATAATTCGTAACATGAACTTGCCAATACAAAATTTTATAGGTGTTAGCGGAACACAATGATCACAATAAGAATGGATGATTTATGAGAAGCTCATATCCACTACGTACCGAACAACCACAATCATAACGAAGGCTTTGGTAGATGGTATTTATCATAAGATGAACTTGCCAAGGTGGGAATTCATTTGAACTATGAACCGTGTTGAACACAACAACACTCCTTTTTGGGGGGTTTTGAGAAACTAACACAATAAGAATCAATGATCTGAGTCTTGATAGAAGGAATCGATCATCACATGAACTTTCCAAGGTCAAAATTCATTTGAATTACGAAATGCGTTGACAGCAATGAAGACATTAATCTGGAATACGTTTCAAATTGAACTCGATTGTCACTACGCTATTACATATATATTGTATCAAGCCCAGACCGAATTGCTTAAGTTTGAAAGGAAATTCTTCAGTTTCCATGTCAAACATTCAAACTTCTTCCACGCTCTCACTTTCTCATAAAAAAAAATTGTGCCCCAGAATTTCTGGCCCAAAACGAATTCTCAACCTATCTTCCAGAAGAATCAGCCAAACGCAAGGTTGTCCCCGCGGGCCGACCCATCGGTTGGCCAATGTTGATCCCGACTCGGTGAGAAAAATGGGTCGTACATATTCACCGGGTCGACTCTTCGGGTTGGAGGTAACACGGTATCATTTTTTCTTTGGTTTGCGAAACGCGCTTATTTTTTGGTTTTCTTCTTCGCCTAACCCTATTATTGGAATTCTAAGTTGACCATTTGGACGTTGATGTTATATAAGTGTGTGCAAATTTTCACTATATGTTGGATCCAAGTACGGCATGTTCTTTTAATGTAATTTTATATGTTATTACTTACATTGTTAGATGAGATTTGATATATTTTATAAATGTATGAACAATATAATGATTTTTTATATACCAGGACTAAACTCGGGCTAAAACAGTCGGACCATTAACACTCAACCCACTTGCTTGACCGGACCAATAGGCTAAACCGTGTTGACAAGCTTGGCCAAATGCCTCAATAGTTCGAAGAACCGACGATACCAGGCAATTGTAGCAGTCTCCTCTGCTGCGACAACAAGCCAATCAAGCGACGGAGAACTACAGTCGCTGACTGACGAGGAGATTGTGCAGCTCATCCAACGAGGTAGACCCTATCCTTACTTGCTCTCCTACTCCTATGGATGAGCATTGGGTGGTTGAACCCACCAATCCACCCAAAACCACCCACAAATGACCCACTCATTATGTTGTGGGTGGTTCATGTGGGTGGATGTGGGTTCTAAAATAGGTGACCCACAATGGTTTGGGTGGGTGCGGGTGAATTAAATTTTGGAATATATGTTATAAACCCACCAAATTCACCCAACCGCACACTATCCGCAATCACACAACCCACCCACAAGTACATGTTGGATGCGTGTGTGGTGCGTGCCATTTTCTTCTTCATCCATCCCGTAATGGGTGGGTCCAAATCCACCCAAATCCGCATAAACCCACCCACTGCTCACTCTACTCCTCTCACTCGGCTCTACACTCTCACCTCTAAGCATGCTCACATTATATGTTCGAACGGATTGAAAAACTGACAATGCAACAAAGTAAAAAGTATATTTATTTACATGGTTCATGTCCACTAATATGATGTGTGTTAACTACATTCACAAACAGGAGATAGCAGTTTCACTATATATATTGCTTTCTGTAGATGATCTAACCTAATTCAACGTGGGGAAAAAAATATAGACCAGATCCAAAATAGTAAAATAAATCTCCACTTTGACTTGAATTCTCCCCCAAACACCGGATGTACCCAGACTATCCTCCTGTCATAGAATGCCCCTAAGGGCATCGACCTAAGAACATTCAACAAGTCCAGTGTGTGGTGGAACTTGTCATGTCAACATCTATGTTCTTAAGAAATGATACATCACATCTATGTGTTTAGTCTGGTTATGATGAACTTAATCTGTGTTTAGTCTGGTTATGATCAACTTAATCATTAGACAAACATATTGCATTCAAACTATCACAACTTAATCACAATGTAAACCTAGATCACTAATAAGCTCCTTCAACAATATTCTCTCTTTATCAACTTCTAATTTAGAGGTGGCCAATGGATTGGATTGGTGGATCCATGGATCACATGGATTGATCCAATGGATTGGTGGATTCATGGATTGGATCAAGTGGATTGGTGGACTATCCACGAATCCAAATGACATCCTCAATCAATGACCAATATGTAAAATGCGAAAAGTTTAGGTAATAAAATGTCATAATGAAAAATTTTAGTTACCAAAACGCAATTTTCCAATGAAATTTTTCGTATAAGATTTTAAATTTTAGGCACCAAAATGTAATAAATAAAAATTATAGAATTGAATTGGTGGATTGGATTGAGAATTGCCACCTCTAGCTTCTATCAATCTTAAAATATATTAAAGCGCTTTTAGAAAAGCGCATCTGCCACGTACGCCTTTAAGCACAGCCCCAATTCTCGGACTTTTGTATTTTTTTTTTTAACTTTTAATTGCTGCAATTGGTAGGCGGTGGTTATCCATTTTTTTCGTTCAATTTTTCAGACGTGTTTTGTTTTTATTAAGAATGGGGTGTATTTTCTTTTTCTAAAGTTGGATGTACTTTTTATTCTACCAAAAACTCTCCCTCATGGATTGAATTCAGATATAAGTATAACAAAATCCCTTTCTTTTAGAAAAGAGTATATCAACGATAAAGTATCTTAACCATAAAAATATAGCAAAATTTCATTTCAAATGAATAAAAATTAATACCTTTATGAGAATCTCAATTTAAATTAATTTAATACAATTATAAATTCATTGTCAAATGACATTTAGTTTATACTCACCCTAAATTTACAATATATATTTATAAAATAATAAATTTGACTATCTTGATTAGCATCAATCTACTCATAAAAACAATTATTGATTATTATACATTTTATATGTCTATGACCGACTTAGTCGATGTTTAATATGCATAGAGTAAAAGTCGAGAATTTCGACTTAAGAACATGTAGTGTTTATGTTACATAAAAAAAATTCATTGGTTGGTTGGACGATTAGCTCATAGACGTCCAAACTTCCACAAAGCATTTAGATTAACACGAGAGAGTTTCCAATTTATATATATAGATATATTACAAAAACATAAGAAATTTAAATATCTAAAATAGTTTAACTATATGATTCAAATGAATTGGTCTAATAATCAAATGAAACACATCCCGGCCAATAGGCCGGGCATAAGTCTAGTACCATATACTCCGCTTCATGATTGACGACACTCGGCAAGCGAAGCCAGAGTCTGAGCCGGTAGCCGATGACGGCGGAGGGAACAGAGGCGAGGGATTGGAGGGCAATTGTGCGGTGTCTCCTTCCCCGGCGTACCGCGTCGGAATCTGAATCAGAAATTGGTATAAATCCAACTTGGGCCTGGATTTCGGAAATGCCGAGACTGATAACTCGGTCGTATACGTAGGAAGTTAGTAAGCAAAAGCCCATCTGGGTCATGTGTGGACTTGGGCCTAGACTTTGAAAAGTCTCGAATTTCGAATTTATTTTATTTTTTGGTGAACTGAATTCGGAGAAAAGCAGAGAGAGAAGAAAAAAGAGAAAAAGGCTGGACTGGACAGACTTGCTGTTTCCCCTTTTTGTTTACTCCACACTCGAGTCTCGAGTGAGAGAGAGCTGAAGAAAGTGCTCTCAGCTCCCTCTCGCGCTCTCTGCCGAAAAATCACAGCACGAAAGCTTCAGTAGAAACGAAGAGGAATCTAATTGACGAGGAAATGAACAGTTCCGACGACGCCAAGCGAATCATCTCCGGAAATCTACCAGGGAAGCCCGGCGTCGATGATCGGAGACTCGCGACTGTCGACCCCGCCGCTGCTCCCACCGTCGGCAAGAAAATCGTCATCAAGAACGCCGACATGAAGGAGGACATGCAGAAAGAGGCTGTGGAGATTGCCATCTCCGTGAGAGCTCTTTATCTATCTCTATCGCTCTCTTGATTGCTTCAATTTCGACTGCTTTCTTTTTGTTCATGTTTTGCTTGCTTCTGTGCGCTCTCCGATCAGGCGTTCGAGAAGCTGAATGTGGAGAAGGATGTGGCGGAGTACATAAAGAAGGAGTTCGACCGGAAGCACGGACCTACTTGGCATTGTATCGTCGGCCGGAATTTCGGTAATCCTAATCTGATTTCCCCGCTTTGCTTTATTGTTTACCTGGAGGTAATGCTTCAGATTTGGTCGTTCCTTTTGGATTTTGTTGGGAATTGGTGTCCTGTGATGATTTTGTGCTACCTGTGAGTGATTTATTGGTTCTTCCTCTGCGTTGGAACAGTAATGGATCCAGGTGTCTGATATAGGGTATCAACTTGTATTCCGATTTCCTTGAACAATTCTGAAAAGTTTCCTATGAATTCCAAACAAAACTCCGTTTCAGTTTGTGGTGACAGTGAATCAGCAATTCGATAGTGGCTGCTTCCTGATGTAGTTAGTGCTACCAAGTATAGGATGCCGAAATCAAGCTTAAATTAGGTTGCAAAACAATTTGTCTGTCTCAGGTTGTGATAATTGCCGAGGCAATTATTTTCCTCTCCTACCACTAATGTGATTACAGAAGAACCTGAAGTTGGTAGTTGAAGTAGATGTTATGAGCACTTGTTTGGTTCTAGTTGTTTAAGGATTTCGTATTGCTCTGTGCTACAGTTAGGTTGCCGCTGCAAGCTATATTGAATGGTTTTCTGCACAAGTTATGATCCATTGACTGATGAAATAGTTCTGGTGAATGTCTCGCGGGGGGCACTCCATGTAGACATCTGTTGTCTGAGAATCTAACGATGTTAGGTGTCCTGGACTTTATGTGGATATATTTGTTATCTTAGCTCTTTGTATGTCCACATTGCATCTGGCAGGAAGTGTGAACATTGGTTTAGACAGAATTACTTGATTCGTAACATAACGGAAACCTCTGTTTCCACTCAATATGTTCAGGGGTTCATAAGTGTGATATAATAGAACGTTGTTCCCAGCATAGTATCCCAAAAGGAAGTTGCATATAGGTTTATCTTCTGTACTAGTGTAAGCACCGTCCGCCTCTGTGAAGACTGAACATTGTGCAATATTCTTTAGGTCCAACTTAAATGATTATGTTTTATAAGTTTAAGGTAGACTTAGACCTTTTCTTTTCAACAGTTTCAAAAGAACTGGAATCGATTCTCGCTGTGAACTGTCCAAATTTTACAGCATCAATGCTGCTGTAAATTAATAATCAGTATCAGCAGCTACTGTTGTCTGCTGCTTTTGTTTTAGGTGACGACAACAGTTTCTGTATTTTTAGGTTTGTTATAGATGTGATCGTAAATTACAAAATCCTGCATAATTCAAACTCACTCTACGATGTACTGTCTTTTCCATTTATGTGCTTGAACCATTAAAAGAAGGATGTCTCCAGTGATTAGTGTCCTAGTAAGATGTCCCTGTAGGTACTGAGTAAGTGAATAGATTCCTTTATGTTTCGCCATTTTCACCCATCGCTGTAACAGTTACCTCTATTCCTTCCTTGACTTCATTGTTGTGGATTAAGCTCCCAACTCTCTTCAGTTCTTGGATCGATGCTCACCAGTCAACGCCCTTTTCTTTTCCTTTCTCCAATCACCACAGGTTCATACGTGACCCACGAGACGAATCACTTTGTCTATTTCTACTTGGACCAGAAGGCAGTCTTGCTCTTCAAATCTGGCTGAGCTCGGTCCCCATTTTAACCAGCCGCGGGGACACAGACATCGAAGATGGCGACATCATGAGCGATCAACCACGCCTTGTACGTATCAGAAAAAAAAACGTAAAACCAGAGAATTTTCTTGCTAGACATTCTTGTTGTTGTGTGGATGGATCCATTTGTATATCTCTTGATGTTGCCTTAGGGATGTTGCCTTAGGGAAAAGAATGGGCGTTCAGCTACGTGGACTACTTACTTTAAAGTGTCATGCCCTCTGTCAGTTTACCGCTTGTCTCTTCTTTTGTTCTCTCTACTGCCTCTGATGTTGTAGACAGTCAGTCATATACTCCTCATTACATGAAGTATGGAAGTAAAATCTCCCCTATAATTTTCATTCACGTTACTTTCTTTCTCTTTTCTTCCTTCTGTTGCTCTGTCTTATTCTTTGACCTATGCTTTGTTTTGAGCTCAACTGATATGGCCTAGTGCCAACTAATTGCTGAAGCCCTTGGATTCCCTCCAATGGCTGTTCCCACTGTCAAGAATCAGTTGATCCTAATAACTCGAGTTGTTGGAAAAGGTTCAATCGTGGATCATATACCACAACACTAACACACCCCCTCAAACGAAAGCCACTCACAAAGGCTTGAATTTTGCACAGGTCTGAAGACAAGAATATCATGTGCTTAACAAATGGGGGTCACCGGGAATTGAACACAATACCTCTCGGTCGCAGAAGACTCTGATACCATGTCAAGAACCAGTTGATCCCAATAACTCGAGTTGTTGGGAGAGGTTCAATCGTGGATCATATACCACAACACTAACACCCACGACACTGCCTAGCTTTAGCTGTGTGTCGGTGGCTTGAACTCTGAAGAGAAAAGACTGCTTGCTATATAATTATTGTTGTTATTATGGTTTACTTTCTTGGCATTGTTTATTATTGGTTGTTTCATAAATGAAGCAGCAGTCACCTTGTGTCAGAATCCGAATCTATCTGCGAATTAACAGCAAAACCGGTACTGTTTTCCGGGTTAATTGCATGGTTGGTCACTAACATTACAAAAAGCGTTCATGTTTGGTCACTGGAAAAATTTAAATCCATTTTTGGTCACTAACTTTACAAAAACCGTTCATTTATGGTCACTTTCCGTTAGCTGCCGTCCAACGCCGTTAATAGCGTCCGTTAAGTGATGACGTGGCTGACGGATTAGCCTAATCAGCACCTTTTAACCCAAAAATTGACTGACCCGACCCGCCACGTCATTTAAACCCTCAATGTCAGCCAAACCTAACCAAACCTCTACCCAAACCCGACCAGACCCGCTAACTAAAACCAAACCAGACCAGACCCCCAAAATTGTTTGACTAAAACCCTAATCAAAGACTGCCTCCATCCCGCACAGCCTTCCACCCTTCCTCCTTGTAAGAAACCACCACCACCACACCAAACTTTCTGATCGCGAATTCGCCGGCGCGGCGCCGCCTTCCTCCCTTCCGTTTTTCTTCCCATTTTCTTCTCCATCGCGCGCGCCTGACTTCCCCCTTTCGCGAGCAGTCAACCCAAACCCTAAATCGAAGCTTCGATTCTCCTCCACTCTCTGACAACGAGGCCGGTTCCCTTTGTTTATTCGATTCTCCTTCCTCTTTCTGAGCAGTCAATAAAACCCTAAAGGTGAGTTTCTGCCTTTTCTTTGTTTATTCGAGACCTGTCTGGAAAGACTGAAAAGGAGAAAAGAATAGGGGGCATAGGAAACAATCTCGTGTGTGTTATTGCTTTTGGGGGTTCACTGTTAGCTTTCTTTTATACTAAATTACAGGTTGTTGTTGGTTTTCCAGGTCACCATTTCACCGAAGGAAGCATGGTGGGGCATGTGCGGGCTCCAAATGAAACTCAGCCTAACTATGGTAAGTCTCCCGTCGTTTTCGCCCTTGTCATTATGGTAGATGGCTGGTTTTGATGGTAGATGGGTGGTCTGGGTTGTCCTTTTCCACAGTTGGCATTTACTAGAGATGAGGACATCACTTTGGGTAGAATTGGAATAGAAAAATGCAGGGTTCTGTGGGAATGACGAAAAATGCAGCCTTAGGGTTTGACTTATTCTGTCTTTTAATAGAAAATGGTGGGACTTGACCACCTACTTACCTGCTGCTCCATAACTGCTCATTTCCTTTTAAATTAACTCCTTTCAATTGCTTTTTTTTTTTACCAAACAGCTACTTCCAGTGGAGAGTTCACCTTTGCAGTTCATGTGTCCCATGAAGTGAAAGAGGTTGGCGGCAAGCATTTCCTCAATGAAACCTCCACTGTGTTTTGGGACTATGCCGACATTGATGAACTTTTCAGTGCTCGACCTTCCTGGCATATATGCGGCGTGTGGTGGGAAGATTAAAGAGCCGAAGTTCTTCTGGAAAGATCCTTGCAACGATGCAATGTCCGAGATTGTCAATGATGAAGATATTCTGAGCATGTCAATAGCAGCCAACGGCGAGGGAAGAGTCATCGAGCTGTATGCTTTTCGGTTAATGATCTTGAAGATCTCTTGGATAGTGAAGTTGAAGAAATGGAGGCTGCCAGTTTGGGAAGAAAGGGAAAAAAATGTTGCTGGAGATGATCTGTTAGGTGATTCTGACTATCATGAGGATGAAGACCGCGACTATTTGGAGGATTCAGAAGAAGATAGTTCAAGGGACAATGCACATTTTGTAGCAAATATCACTCAAGAGGTGGAAGCCGACATGGGTACCTTTGAAATGGATGATGATCAGCCTGAACTACAAAGGGAAGGGCCTGATTATCCAGACTCTGATGATCGTAGGAGCATTGTAAGCTCATACTCGAATGAAGGACACCAATCTCATGAATTCCGGGTTGATCGACATGGAGATGCCTACCTTTGCTGCTTCCCAGAAGTTTAGCAGCTTTGGAGTCCTAAAAGATGCAATAAAACAACATGCTTTCGTCGAGAAGAGGCCAGTTCGCTTTAAAAAGAATGATGGAAAGCGGCTGCAAGTAGTGTGCGATCCTCCATGTGATTGGTACATTTGGGCTTCAAAGATGAGCACCGAAGATTCTGTCCAAATCAAGAAGTGCAAGGTTGAGCACTCACCTGATTGTAGGAAGACCTTCAAGGTCAAGTACGCAACTGCAAAGTTTCTCGGCTCCAAGTTAAGTAGGAAGATGGCAATGTGATTGTCATCTTCCTACTTAACTTGGAGATTGCCATCTTCCTACTTAACTTGGAGCCGAGAAACTTTGCAGTTGCGTACTTGACCTTGAAGGTCTTCCTAAAATCAGGTGAGTGCTCAACCTTGCACTTCTTGATTTGGACAGAATCTTCGGTGCTCATCTTCGAAGCCCAAATGTACCAATCACATGGAGGATCGCACACTACTTGCAGCCGCTTTCCATCATTCTTTTTAAAGCGAACTGGCCTCTTCTCGACGAAAGCATGTTGTTTTATTGCATCTTTTAGGACTCCAAAGCTGCTAAACTTCTGGGAAGCAGCAAAGGTAGGCATCTCCATGTCTCGATCAACCCGGAATTCATGAGATTGGTGTCCTTCATCCGAGTCTGAGCTTACAATGCTCCTACGATCATCAGAGTCTGGATAATCAGGCCCTTCCCTTTGTAGTTCAGGCTGATCATCATCCATTTCAAAGATACCCATGTCGGCTTCCACCTCTTGAGTGATATTTGCTACAAAATGTGCATTGTCCCTTGAACTATCTTCTTCTGAATCCTCCAAATAGTCGCTGTCTTCATCCTCATGATAGTCAGAATCACCTAACAGATCATCTCCAGCAACATTTTTTCCCTTTCTTCCCAAACTGGCAGCCTCCATTTCTTCAACTTCACTATCCAAGAGATCTTCAAGATCATTAACCGAAAAGCATACAGCTCGATGACTCTTCCCTCGCCGTTGGCTGCTATTGACATGCTCAGAATATCTTCATCATTGACAATCTCGGACATTGCATCGTTGCAAGGATCTTTCCAGAAGAACTTCGGCTCTTTAATCTTCCCACCACATGCCGCATATATGCCAGGAAGGTCGAGCACTGAAAAGTTCATCAATGTCGGCATAGTCCCAAAACACAGTGGAGGTTTCATTGAGGAAATGCTTGCCGCCAACCTCTTTCACTTCATGGGACACATGAACTGCAAAGGTGAACTCTCCACTGGAAGTAGCTGTTTGGTAAAAAAAAAAAAGCAATTGAAAGGAGTTAATTTAAAAGGAAATGAGCAGTTATGGAGCAGCAGGTAAGTAGGTGGTCAAGTCCCACCATTTTCTATTAAAAGACAGAATAAGTCAAACCCTAAGGCTGCATTTTTCGTCATTCCCACAGAACCCTGCATTTTTCTATTCCAATTCTACCCAAAGTGATGTCCTCATCTCTAGTAAATGCCAACTGTGGAAAAGGACAACCCAGACCACCCATCTACCATCAAAACCAGCCATCTACCATAATGACAAGGGCGAAAACGACGGGAGACTTACCATAGTTAGGCTGAGTTTCATTTGGAGCCCGCACATGCCCCACCATGCTTCATTCGGTGAAATGGTGACCTGGAAAACCAACAACAACCTTCAATTTAGTATAAAAGAAAGCTAACAGTGACCCCCCAAAAGCAATAACACACACGAGATTCTTTCCTCTGCCTCCTATTCTTTTCTCCTTTTTAGTCTTTCCAGACAGGTCTCGAATAACAAAGAAAAGGCAGAAACTCACCTTTAGGGTTTTGTTGACTGCTCAGAAAGAGGAAGGAGAATCGAATAAACAAAGGGAACCGGCCTCGTTGTCAAAGAGTGGAGGAGAATCGAAGCTTCGATTTAGGGTTTGGGTTGACTGCTCGCGAAAGTGGGAAGTCAGGCGCGCGCGATGGAGAAGAAAATGGGAAGAAAAACGGAAGGGAGGAAGGCGGCGCCGCGCCGACGAATTCGCGATTAGAAAGTTTGGTGTGGTGGTGGTGGTTTCTTACAGGGAGGAAGGGTGGAAGGCTGCGCGGGGTGGAGACAGTCTTTGATTAGGGTTTTAGTCAAACAATTTTGGGGGTCTGGTTTGATTTTTGTTAGCGGGTCTGGTCAGGTTTGGGTAGAGGTTTGGTTAGGTTTGGCTGACATGGAGGGTTTAAATGACGTGGCGGGTCGGGTCAGTCAATTTTCGGGTTAAAAGGTGCTGATTAGGCGAATCCGTCAGCCACGTCATCACTTAACGGACGCCGTTAATGGCGTTGGACGGCAGCTAACGGAGAGTGACCATAAATGAACGGTTTTTGTAAAGTTAGTGACCAAAAATGGATTTAAATTTTTCCAGTGACCAAATATAAACGCTTTTTGTAATGTTAGTGACCAACCATGCAATTAACCCATGTTTTCCTATCCCTACAAAA